GGAATGCTGACAACGCCTAGGGTCCTATCTTCTCCCTCCCTCCCTCCTAAGTCATACTGTTTCTCTAAAATGACTGAGGTGGTAATAATGTAAAGATACAGACGTCATCAACCACAACCATGAGCAAAAAAGAACTCTCACAGTCCAGTAATGAATGGTGGCAAGTACTCTCCCTCTAGTGTTTCTCCAATTGGAAAAAAATCCAAAGAAAATGACTTATAGAAAAATGTATTCTTGCCACTCTATCTCATGGTAATAAAACTTTGGTAGAAGAGAACCTTACTTCTATTTGATTCAGAAGGGTGAAGTATTTCTATTAGTAGAAAAGTCAGAAAATCTGGTTTTAGATCAGAGTTACACAAACACTTAGGAAAGAAAGCATGATGCCCATGTAAGAAATTTACTATTATCAATAGATAATAACCACAGAAAATTATTGTGGTTGTTTTTTCTGTGAGCATTTCACCAACTAATTTTCATCAGTGCTAATAACATTCCAGGAAAGGTCATTCATCCTAAGGAAATCATGTCTAACCTAGAGGCTACACAGCTTCCTATGGGAATCATGAGTGGAGTGGCATGGTTTGCAAATTTCAGATTATATACAACACTTGATAGGTATACATATATTTCAGATTATTAAAGGACCGTTTAATAAGAATAGTTACTTTGGGCCAGCAGGAGGTGTAGTGGTTAAGGCATTGGACTCTAATATGGCCCACTACAGTTCTGGTCCTGGACCCAGCAGCTTGAAAATCATGCCAACCACATATGCATGCATGCCCAAAGTCCCAGGAGGAGAACAGAGAAGGGACTGAGGGGTAGCCATCCCTCCAGGGGCTGATTTCTCATTCTCCTTCTCTCTGTCTCTCCCACAAGCACATGTTCCCCATAGGAAAAAGAGAAGTTACCTCTGCCATTAGATGAAAACGTAAAACAAGAGAAAGCAATAATGCTTCCTATAGCCATGGAATGAGTCTAGGTTAACAGTAGATAAAGTAACCTGGGACTTGTGAATCGAAGGCTCTACCTGACTAGATCATTCTACTTAAAGGATCACGTAGCCAAAGAAGAGGTCTCCAAGAAAAATAAAAAATCTCTGTTTTTAGGAGCAGAAATCATAGACTAAGGGGGGATTGAACTAATTCTTTATCATATCTGTTTTCAAAGAGAATTTGCAAAACATGCTAGATTGAAAAGAATCATTTCATTCAACAAACACAAAGGACCTCAGAGAGAGTACTGCAGTCTCCAAGCTTAGGTAGCTTCTCTTCTATGGTCTGTTACCTTGAAGTATATTCTGTTCTAGAAAGAAATTCTTGAATAATTCCTTTTAGTTATGTATGTAGTCAAATAAATATCTAATGTTCTAGAAAAAGATGTAACTAGCCTTTTGCGAAAAATCACCCCCTCCCCCCTGGGAGGATGGCCACACCACCGCAATCCCTTCTCCTCCATTCTCCTCTCGGGATCTTGGTCACATACGCATACGCACCCGGCGTGAGTTTTAAGCCACTGGCTCTGGGACTCAAACCGTGGTCAACTACATGAGAGTCCAGTAACATAGCCATTACACAACTGCTGGTCCCTAACTAGCCATTTTTTAACCAGAGGCTATGTGCCTCCATTCTCAACCCATTCAAGAACCTTTCTGAACTCTCTTCCTCTTTAACAAAGTGTGTGTGTGTGTGTGTGTAGAGATCAGGGGTGACTATTAGGTTATCAGATAAATACAATGTCTCATAAATTAAAATGATCTTGGAACAGCTGGTGGTGTGGTGGTTTGGGTGGCTGGATCCCCCATGGCCAACTATGCATTTCAGGCTTCAGAAACACACTAGACACATATGTGTGCATGCCCCAAATCCCAAATGGAGGGAGAAAAGAAGGGAATGTGAGGTGATCATGTCCCATAGCAGGGGTTGGGGGTACTTTCTCACCTTTCCTCTCTCCCTGTCTCTCTTAGAACTTATGCACCCTCTGGCAAAATTTGAAAGAAAGAAACATAATGCAAAAATAAATAATAAAAATAATTATCCCAAGCTTCTCCTATTAGATCTCTTTAAACTCACTGGGTGTTACAATCAGTAGCACCTCCTACAAAGGGCTGTGAGAGGAGGAACACTCATTTTAGTTTTAATTTCACCTGCATCACTAACAGCCCTCATGAAAGTAAATGAGGAACTAAAACCAGCAGCTAAAAGTTCATTTAAATTACCTACAGCATGGTTTGATGCCCAGTATGCCATTCTTGGCCTCCAGAATACAAGCTAGAGTTGGATAGCTAAATATATTAAGCTTGTTCCACTTAGCATCTTTGTCACCACTGTTGACATCCCTAGCATTGTCCTTCTCTCCATCCTTTTTCCCTATGGTGGCATCACCTGTTTATCACTATTGGATCAAATCCCATTCTTAGTATCAGTTTTATTAGCAATTCTCTGTCCTTGCAGAATCAGTGGATATCAAGATTGAACAGGATCTGAAGGACATAATCACTGCCCTATTTTATTCTTGGCAGAATGTTTTTCAGTCTCTACCTTCAGTTTCCTTCCCAAGCCTTGCTTTACCCTCAAATTTTCCCCTTCCTCAGTTTTAATTCCTAGCAGTTTCTTCTACAAAACCCTAAATCCTCACTGCCTATAACTATCACTGCTCCTATTTCAATATAGCTTGTGGTTCTCCAACGAGATCTTACGTTTCAGCCACCGGTCTTAACTAGTCACCTTGATTACATTCAGGAAGTCTTCAGTTAAGTCACTGTGACAGCTCATGCCCCAGCCATAAGTCTAGTCTTCCCAATTGCATCGCTGCACTTCCAAAAGGCCTAATAATGTGGCTCTGGGACTCAAACCGTGGTCAACTACATGAGAGTCCAGTAACATAGCCATTACACAACTGCTGGTCCCTAACTAGCCATTTTTTAACCAGAGGCTATGTGCCTCCATTCTCAACCCATTCAAGAACCTTTCTGAACTCTCTTCCTCTTTAACAAAGTGTGTGTGTGTGTGTGTGTAGAGATCAGGGGTGACTATTAGGTTATCAGATAAATACAATGTCTCATAAATTAAAATGATCTTGGAACAGCTGGTGGTGTGGTGGTTTGGGTGGCTGGATCCCCCATGGCCAACTATGCATTTCAGGCTTCAGAAACACACTAGACACATATGTGTGCATGCCCCAAATCCCAAATGGAGGGAGAAAAGAAGGGAATGTGAGGTGATCATGTCCCATAGCAGGGGTTGGGGGTACTTTCTCAACTTCCCTCTCTCCCTGTCTCTCTTAGAACTTATGCACCCTCTGGCAAAATTTGAAAGAAAGAAACATAATGCAAAAATAAATAATAAAAATAATTATCCCAAGCTTCTCCTATTAGATCTCTTTAAACTCACTGGGTGTTACAATCAGTAGCACCTCCTACAAAGGGCTGTGAGAGGAGGAACACTCATTTTAGTTTTAATTTCACCTGCATCACTAACAGCCCTCATGAAAGTAAATGAGGAACTAAAACCAGCAGCTAAAAGTTCATTTAAATTACCTACAGCATGGTTTGATGCCCAGTATGCCATTCTTGGCCTCCAGAATACAAGCTAGAGTTGGATAGCTAAATATATTAAGCTTGTTCCACTTAGCATCTTTGTCACCACTGTTGACATCCCTAGCATTGTCCTTCTCTCCATCCTTTTTCCCTATGGTGGCATCACCTGTTTATCACTATTGGATCAAATCCCATTCTTAGTATCAGTTTTATTAGCAATTCTCTGTCCTTGCAGAATCAGTGGATATCAAGATTGAACAGGATCTGAAGGACATAATCACTGCCCTATTTTATTCTTGGCAGAATGTTTTTCAGTCTCTACCTTCAGTTTCCTTCCCAAGCCTTGCTTTACCCTCAAATTTTCCCCTTCCTCAGTTTTAATTCCTAGCAGTTTCTTCTACAAAACCCTAAATCCTCACTGCCTATAACTATCACTGCTCCTATTTCAATATAGCTTGTGGTTCTCCAACGAGATCTTACGTTTCAGCCACCGGTCTTAACTAGTCACCTTGATTACATTCAGGAAGTCTTCAGTTAAGTCACTGTGACAGCTCATGCCCCAGCCATAAGTCTAGTCTTCCCAATTGCATCGCTGCACTTCCAAAAGGCCTAATAATGGAAGCATTACATTTTAGACCTGAAAGAAAACATCTAAACTGGCCCAATGTTCCTCCAACTTTTTTCTAGCTTTCACTTCATGTATGAAATTCATTTTACACAATCATACACACATACATGAAACAATTTTCATGAAATAATACTATGTGAGCACTGAAAATTTCTATTTAATGTTCTTTAATGCCAGGTGCCATCCACTAAACTGATTTTACAACTGAATAAGAGGAAGAAACCTATAGCTTGAAAACATTAATCTACTGTAAATAGTTCAAACTTCTCTACACTATAACTCAGTGGGGAAGTTTCCCATTCATAAGAAATGTGCCCATAAAGTTAAATGAAAAGCTAAGTCGCAGGCCAATGTTCTTTCCACGGAAGACCATCTCTGCCCTGTCACAGCCACTCAGTCACACCCGGTGCCCAAACACAACCCTTCTGTACCATTTTAGTAACTGATCCCACACTCCTCTCCAAGTCAGCCCCTGGAAGCCACTGCTCCTTGGTCAGGGTACCCTCGCAGCCGCTGCTTCATGTTCCCTTCGGTCCAGTCCCCTCACTGATCCATCGATCAGTGTCTCCTCCGAGTCACTGCCCCTTGGACACGGTCCCCTTGCAGTCACTGCCCCATACTTCCTCGGTCGGAGTCCCGTCGCAGCCTCTGACGGTGCTCTCCGGGGTCAGAGTCCTTCGTATCCACTGCTCTTGGGGCAGCTACACTTGGGTCACAGACCCCCTCGCTGTCGCTGCCCCTCGGTCACAGTCGCCCCGCAGCCCCTGCCTCACACTCCCCGTGCTGTCACTGACCCACTCTCCCTCAGTCCCAGGTTCGGCGCGGCCCCTGCAGCGTAGTCACTGCTCTCACAGAGCCGCAAGGCCGTGCACACACTCGCTGCTCACCTGCAGCTCGTGCTCCCGGCCCCTGTCCCGTCGGCTTGCTCCCGAGTGCGCGTCACGGACAAGGGAAGTTAGGAGGTTGCGGGGAGACGCCCGAGGAAGGCAGCTGACGGAACAGCGGGCCGGAAGTCCCGCCTACTCCGGCCCGCCTGTCAATCCGACCACGTAGTCTCCCAGAAAACCACGACCCCTGACACAGTAGTTCCGCCACCACCGAGGCCCGGGAGATGAAGTGACGCGGCAGAAAACCAGAGGCCGCCTTCGCGGGACGAGGGGTCGGTCTCCGCCCAGAGCCGGGGTACGCTCTAAAGAGCCTCCTCGTCGTGGGGTACGGATGTGAGCTGTCACGAATCGTCGCTGCAGCAACTCCCCTTGGACCTGTTCCGGGCCGGGCCCCGCGCAGGCGGACCTGTCGGTGGCCGCGCGGATGGCCGAGGCCTCTGCTAGGACCCGCTCCCGCGGCTGCTGCCCTCGGCGCCGCGTCTTCGTCTTGGTGATGCAAGGAGAGTTCACGGCCGCCGGCCCAGTCCAGTGAAAACCCGTGCTTGCCCAGACGCGCTCCTCCTGTCGTCAGAGCCGGGTCGGCTCAACACTGACATCCCTAGGAGTCAGTATACCAAGTCTCCGCCCCCCGCCCCTGGAGCGGGTTCCAGGGGGGCCGCTCCTAGGAAAACATGCGTAACAGGGTGAGGAAAAACGTTTTCCTCGGCTAGACGAGTCTTCGCAGGGGCCTCTCTGCTGCTGCACACTTAAGGCAAGTGGACAGCCAGTGTTATGGAAGGATGTAAAGTAACTTTTTAAATGCATTTACTCGTCAGTTTGTAGTCTATGTGCTTGACTTCAAAGTGGCTGAGAAGAAAGAGGGTGGGGTAAACTTGTGCAGTGCTCAAGAACCTCCTGGGGGCGAAAAAGGATTTAAATCTGACTCTCCCTTTTGAATTCCAACAGGCCTACCAGAGTACACTGGGTGGGGTGCATGTAGTGAACATATGCTTCTGAGAGAGAGAAGTGAGAGACTCTCAAACACAGAGTCAGTTGTCAAATTACCAACTTACCTTTATTTTGTCATATTTTGTTCATATTTCTTCATGGCATCTGAAAACGGCTGATAGACTAAGGTGCCACAAGTAAGGACAAGTAGGTGAAGACACCTGGGACCCTAAGAGGAACAACTACAAAGACAGCAGGAGTATGGCTAAGGTATCTCAGATAGTCTTAAGGGAGGCCAGTGTCATACACAGCTTGGAACCTCTCAGACTGACTCTGGACAAACCCTGGAGAGAATGGATGTGTTTAGGCTAATAAACTGTGTAAGGCATAGGATAGCAGTAGCTGAGCCAAAACACTTAGGTGAAGGAAAAAAGGGCAAGTCAAAACTCAGAAAAAAGCTTTATACACAAATAAATTCATCTTTTTAAAATAATAGTGGAAAATAACAAATAAGCAGTCTCAATAAGGAAATGGTAAATGTAACAATGGAATAAACAGCTATTAAATTATGCTTCTGAAAATCACAATACAAATAGTGACATAAAAACTGCTCATTATATTATGAGAAGTGAAAAATCAGGGTACAAAATTATACCTCATCCCTCAGTGTCTATGTTAGAGATTGGTCCAGGACCCCCCAGGATACCAAATTCTAAGGATGCTCAAGTCCCTTATATAAAGCATTTAAGCATATAATCTATGCACATTCTCCCTTATACTTTTAATCATCTCAATGATTTTATAATACCTAATATGATACAAACACTACCTAAATAGTTGTTATACTGTATAGTTTCAGGAATAATGATTCAAAAAAAGTCAGTACAGATAAACCAACAACCATTATAGGCCTAACTACATAGTACATGTCAGCAACAACGTACATTTTCCATCAGCAGTTGGTTGCATCCATTGATGCAGAACTGGTGGGTATGGAAAGATGACTACGCATTTTTTTAAAATCCTGCAAATACAAAAACACAAAGAAAAAACACCGAAGTATTTACAATTGGTTATGTTTGAACAACTAAAATGGATTTCTCTTACTTTTTTCTCTACTTTACAAATGTAATAATATATTATGATAAAATCAAAAGCATTAAAAATATAAGGCCTGGACTAGCCAGTGGTATGGTGGTTAAGGTGGCTGAATTCCATGAGGCCAACTAAACAGTTCAAGTCCTGGACCCAGTGGCTTGAAAAACATGTCAGGTACATGTACATGTGTACCCAAAATCCCAAGAGGAAAAGGAATTGTGGCATGGCCATCCCTCCTCAGAGTTATTTTCTCACTTTCTCCCTCTCCATCTCCATCGAGCACATGAACCCTAGAGGGGGTAAAAATAACATATATATATATATATATAGAGAGAGAGAGAGAGAGAGAGAGAGGAGAGAGAGAGCCTAAAACACGGATTCAGTTGTCAAATTGCCAACTTATCTTTATTTTGTGAAAATACTTAACAATACATTTCTTCATGGTCATCTCTTTTCCCAGCATGTCAAAGATTCAATAGTAGAAACAGCCAAATGCAGCCACAACACAGAATAAACTGTCCTAAAAAACAAAGAGAATACACACACAGACAAATCCAGAATCAGTACTAATGAGGGAATAAGGGCAGCACAGGCAATTAAAAATTAACACTAACCCAGATCTTTGCCAGTTTTCAACTATGAAGACCTTTTCCTTTTTCAAAAAACAAAGAGTTTTCAGAGTATAACTACAAAGTTGCTCACCTACAAAACTGCCTGCTAAAAAGATAGGATGGGCAAAGAATTCAATTTTCTGAATTTGGAAATAAAATTTGACCTAAATAATTTTAGGCAATGCATATTCATAAAATGATTTTCTCGTATTTCATGTTTATTACAGAAATAAAATAATATATAAAATGTTTTGCATTTCTTGGACTAACTGCATTATCCAACCCAAAAACATCCCCAAAACTGTATCATGACAGCACCTTGCATGAATTCTGGATAAGAGAAATGATCTCTGGATGTTAATTGATAAAATTCATTAGTCCATCTTTGAGCTCCAAATCTCAAAATGCTTCCCAGAGCCTAAACCTATTGAAACATTTTTTAGATACTTATTTCAGGAGTTCCATCTGATTCAGCAACTCCTCACCCACCACACCTGACCTGTAGCCTGGTAGTGATAATAGAAAAACAATCTGAAATCATGTATCTGGTATTAACCCAAAGCAAAATTCTTTCATTTGATACTTCTTTAGCTCCTTGGGTGGATAACTCTGAGCTGTTTTCTACAACAGTGCTATTTATAATGAAAGACTTGTTTTTGTTTTTGCTTTAATTTTTAATTCTTCATAGACTAACATTCTTGTGAAATACAATAAAAATAACTCAGAAAATGAAATGAAAAAAAGAAACATAGAAAATACAGTCCAAACCTTTTATGAGATTCAATGGACATAAATGTTTGTTGAATTGGGTATTTATTTAGGTTTCATTTTCAGAGTGAAAGATGACTTAGTTTAGGTTTATTGGTTATATAGTTGTAGTAACTATTATATAATTATAGTAACTATATAGTTATTCAGTTAGGTTTATTTAGGTCTCATTTGCAGATACAGTAAAGGAAGCAACCTAAGCCAGGGTCTCAAAAAATTTTTTTAGCCACTTCCTCTACCAATCCTGTAAAACTCAATTATAAACTTCCTACAGGCAGAAACCATGTATGTCCTCTTATTCATCATTTTATTCCTAGCACCTCAATTACAGAAGCTGACACACAGTAAGAGCTTAAGAATTATCTGTTGGGAACCAGCAGTTAGCGTAATGGCTATGTCGCTGGACTCTCATGTAGTCGACCGCGGTTCGCGTCCCGGACCCGGTGGCTTAAAACTCACTCCAGGCGCGTGTGCGTGCGTGCCCAAGATCCCAAGAGGAGAATGGAGGAGAAGGGATTGCAGCGTGACCATCCCCCCTGGGGGGTGATTTCTCACTTTCTGTCTCTATGTCTCTCTCTCTGTCTGGCGAGCGCACGCGCCCTATAGCAAAAACCTCTCCAAAAAAAAAAAAAAAAAGAGTTATTTGTTGAATGAATGAAATATATTGTATGTATTGAGGAAAGTTGCATTTTTAACTTTAAAAAGCAGAAAAACTATCACCTCAGTTTGACTCTTCCCCCAAAGAGGGCTGATAAATGAAGATTTACACATAGTATCAATACTTCCCACTATCCAGCCCCTCCTCCCTAGGTTAGCTGAGCCTAATGAAACTTTGCAGCCCAGCCAGTAGCATACCAGACAGCAGAACTGGAAGCCACATGTTGACCATGGTTAAGATCTACACAATTGGCCTGAAAACACTCCAAGCACATGCACACATGTCCAGGATCAAACTGGAGAACTAGAAGAACAGGTCACATGGTGACCATGCCATGGGGAGGGTGTCTCTCTGTCTCTGTCTCTCTCTTTCACACACATAAGCATGCACATAGTATAATCATGAGTTAAATAAACAGACCAGCAGATGACTTAGTGGTTACATCGCTGGACTACCATATGACTAAGCACAGTTCGAGTCCCAGACCCAGCGGCTTGAAACTCATACTGGGCGCATTTGCTTGTATACCCAGAATCCAAAGAGAACAAAAGAGAAGGGCCATCCCTCCCGGGGGACAGGGGTGATTTCTCATTCTCTGTCTCCCTCTCTCTCCCCGGCAAGCTCATATGCCCTATTGCAAAAATCTCTCTAAATAAATAAATAGAAACTTTGGTTGGACTATAGATTTTAAACCTAAAGGTACCTTGGGCCAGCAAGTGGCATGGAGGCTCCAGGATCCCACATGGCCAATCACATCCCAGACCTGGTGGCTTGAAAATCACACAGGGCACATGGGCATGTGAGCTCCTTTCTTGTGCAGCTGAAGAATAGAAAAGGGATTGTGGCATGGCCGTACCCCGAAGGGTGATTTCTCAATCTCCCTCCTCTCCTCACTCTCTGGTGAAGGCATGCACCCTATCGCAAAAATTTTTAAAATTTAACAAAAAGTTAAAGGTACTTTAAGGTCATCTACCTAAACAGCTTCTGACCTGGGAAATCAGCAGAATAATGGGAGAACCTTTTTAAAAATTCAGATTTAGGGAACCAGCAGTTAGTGTAATGGCTGTCGCTGGACTCCACGTAGTCGACCACAGTTCGCGTCCCAGACCCGGTGGCTTAAAATTCACGCCGGGCGCATGTGCGTGCGTGCCCAAGATCCCTAGAGGAGAATGGAGGAGAAGGGATTGCGGCGTGACCATTCCCCCTGAGGGGTGATTTCTCACTTTCTGTCTCTATGTCTCTCTCTGTCTGTCTGGCGAGCGCATGCGCCCTATAGCGAAAACCTCTTCCAAAAAAAAAAAAAATTTCAGATTTATTGATCCAACCCTAGATAATCTGATCAGAATGTACTTGAGTAGGGCCTTATATTTTAGACTAGTTCCTCAAATCAGGTAGCCACAGCCAGTCTTTGGGAAAATCTACTCAGCTTCCTAATGTTACTTGATACAATCAGAAAAATCCAATGATATACCTGAAGTCATCCAATAAGAAACTGACAGAGCTAGAGGCCAGCAGGTGGCATGGTGGTTAAGGCACTGGACTCCAACACAGTCAACTGCGGTTCAAGTCCCAGACCTAAAGGCTTGCTTTCCTACTTTCTCTTTCTCTCTCTTTGTCTCTCTCTGGTCAAATGATGATGAAATAAAACAATAAAAAATAAACAAATGATGATAATAAATAAAATGAAATAAAAGTAATTCTTAAAAAATATTTAAAACAAGAAGGTGACAGAGTTGAACATAAACTTCTCTCTCCTAATTTACTCAGTCCAATTTCTGTTTTATTCTCCTTTAATTCTGACTGCATTAATTCAACCTAGGAGTATTCGAATACAGGACAGGACATTTCTGCTAACAAGTATAAAATAACAACAAATGATTAACATATAACATTTGTGACAATAACTTATCAATGTTTAAATGAAACTTCTTTTTAAAGAGGTCCCTCTATTTTTGCTTAGTTTTTTCGAATGGCTTTAATATAAAGTAAGTAATTTTATTACTAAAAATGTCTTTTAAAACTTTGTTCATGGACTACCTGCTACTAAAATTTCTTTGTGGCTTAGCAAAGTGTGATTTATTCAAATGAACAAATATATAATTAAAAACCTTGTTATCAATTATTACTTTAATAATAATGATCAGGATTGAGTTTTACAATATAACTTATAGATGAAGTGGCTCAAAATCATTTCTAAGAAAAATATGCTATGTAATTTGCTATTCCCAAATTCAAACCTGTGAAGATGTCTGCTTTAGTACCACAAAAAGTAACAGTAAAAATAATCTCATCCAGAAGTCTAAAACAAATGTCCAAAAGTACAAAGTGTCCTCACATCTCAAAAAATAATAAGTATTTTGATTTGGAATGCCCATGTGTCCTTAGAAAGCAAAAAAGGTTTCCAGAGAGACTTACATTCATGAAAACATCATAAGTGTAGTTGTCAGTGTCAGCATCCCAGAAACATCGAGCAGCCATGCTAAAAAGTCAAGGAAGGAAGAATTACCAACAACCCACCGAGGATCTGAACTAGAAAAGTTTATCTGTACAGCAGAGCATACTGGGTAAACTGGAGGGACAGGAGTCAAGACATGGCTGCTTGCAGCTACAGGTACTAGCGCAGGCTCCAATAGCCTCAGACCCTGATGCACTGCCTAATGGCCACAGGGGTTGATACCTGGGAAGTTGTTGGTCCTCTGAGTGGGAGCTCTGATACAGATTACTTCAAGTAAGATATGTGTGACTTTTAATGGGCTCAATTTACACACAGTAAAAGGAAAAGGACCAGAATGATTTATTCTAACCTAGTCATTTTATAGAGTCCCAGAAAAGAAAGGGACAAACTCTGAAGCAGAATTCAGTCTTCTGAATTCAAATCTAGTACTCTTTCTACAGGATGCTACACTACCTCTAAATTCTCAAACTAGTCATTCCCCTCTCCCTAGTTCTTGGGTAGGAAAAAAATGGTAGTTAAAATAAAAGCCAACTGTAAAATGCAAATACCCCTAATGTCCACTAGGATTGGATTAGCAATTGAAATTATGGTACTTCCTGGCAGTGAAATTCTATATAGCCATTAAAGAGAGGTTCTACAAAAAAAAAAATTCCAAGAACATGAATGATGACTTCAAGAACATTTCTCAAGCACTTACTTTGGGCTGGCCACTAGTCTTAAGTGCTTCGTGTGAACTCACTCACGCCTATGAGAAACGTAGTATTGTTATACCCATTTAATAAACATGGAAATTGAGGGTCAGAGAAATTAAAGTGTCCAAGGTCACATAACTAGTAAGTGACAGTTTGGCTTTCAACCCTGACAGCCTCAAGCCTGCAGAGAAATACATACATACATCACATTATATTGGGTCATTTTTGGAGGTAATTTTTTTTTAAAGTTTTACAAAGAAGAGTTCCTCCATCCTAACTTTTCACATATTCTTAAATAATAAAAATTCCATCTGTTTGCAAATTGCAGCAGTAACAACATGAAATAAAATTAACCTACTTAATTGATCGATCAATAAGTATTTATTTAAATTTGATCCTGTGCTTGAAAAATTCCCAATTAGGTGAAAAAAGTTAACACATGTCAAAAGAATAATATATAGTTGGTGCTAATTTATAAATATTAGGCTTAACGGAGATTTAAAAAGTCTACCTAGTGTAACCCTCCAAGTTATGCAATTTTTTGAATTAAATCTATCGAAGCGCTGCAGAAGGTCAGCAAATTTAAAGAGGAAACAAGCCAAAGAAGACTTCAGGAAGAAAGTGGTATTTAAACTGAGCAGAACAAGGTAGAAGCATACTTATAGAAATTTATTTAATATTTGTTGAGTACCCATTATACAAAAGGCAAAATTCTAGGTACAAATGATATAAAGATGATTAAAACACAATCCTTGCCTTCAAATCGTGGTTTCTTTAACACCATTTCCCAATAAAAGGAAGTAGGACTTCAATAGCCAGTTTCAGGGACCAGCAGTTGGCGTAATGGCTATGTCAGGCATAATGGCTATGTCACCGGACTCCCACGTAGTCAACTGTGGTTTGAGTCCTGGACCTGGTGGCTTAAACTCATGCTGGGCGCATATGCATGCATGCATGCCCAAGATCCTGAGAGGAGAATGGAGGAGGAGGGATTGTGGCGGTGGCCATCTCCCCTGCGGGGTGGTGGTGGTTTCTCACTTTCTTTCTCTCTGTCTTTCCAGCGAGCGAGCGCATGCGCCTTATAGCAAAAACCTCTCCAAAAAAAAGAAAGAGAAGAAATAGTCAGTTTCAGGTCTAGGGCTAGGAATGCTCACAATAAACCAGGGGCATCTGGGCTATACCAAAAACCTGTGCCATACACAGAAGGACACTATATTTAAATATAAATATGTAAACAAATACAGTCTTCAAAAAATTTATAAAATGCACATTATAAAAAGACTGTATGAATTTCAATTTTCTTTGCACCAAAAAAAGCATACCTTAATTCCATTTTGTCACAACCTTTTTGAAGTCCCCTCACATATATAAAGTTGTATCAAAGGTAGAAGAGGTATGCTGGAATAGTTTACAGCAAGCTAATGCTCCCACCAGCATCAATCAGAAAAGCTGGATAAAATGAATTAGAACTTCCAAAGCAAACAAGTCTATGGAGCTGAAATTCCAGAAAGTCATGAACTACAGGAGGTAAACTGATATATTCCTGCAGATATTTCCCTTGGGCCTTTGTCAATTCTAGGCACAGGGCTAGAGGCTGAGAATATAGGCTTTCCAGGGTGGAGGACCACTTTCTGAGAAGAAAAGAAACCAGCAGGATTGCTGGTAGTCCTACAAGGCTAGGGAGATAAACTTGGAGTCTGCAGGGACCAGGAGCCTGTGAAAAAGGAACTGCACTGGAACCATTACACATTACATGGTAGGTTTTCTTCTTAAGACATGTGCTCGGGAACCAGCAGTTAGTGTAATGGCTATGTCGCTAGACTCCCATGTAGTCAACCGCGGTTCGCGTCCCGGACCCGGTGCCTTAAAACTCACGCTGGGCGCGTGTGCGTGCGTGCCCAAGATCCCGAGAGGAGAAGGGATTGCGACGTGACCATCCCCCCTGGGGGGTGATTTCTCGTTTTCTGTCTCTATGTCTCTCTCTGTCTGGCGAGCACACGCACCCTATAGCGAAAAATCTCTCCAAAAAAAAAAAAAAAAAAGACACGTGCTCAATTTTCTTTTTACTTTATTTTCTTTTTTTCTTTCTTTTTTTTTTTTTCTTTTCGTTTTTTTGCTATAGGGCACATATGCTCGCCAGAAAGACAGAGAGACAGAAAGCAAGAAAGGGTGATTTCTCCTCCATTCTCCTCTCGGGAATCTTGGGCACTCACGCACATGTGCCAGGCGTGAGTTGAAGCCACCGGGTCCAGGACTCGGACCATGGTTGACTACATGGGAGTCCAGCGACATAGTCATTACGCTAACTGCTGGTCCCCAAGAAATAGCTTTTCAGGAAGCATATGCAAGACATGGCAATGAAAGGGCCTGTCATATTTAAATGAATTTTAGTGTGACCTTAGCAATAGGTGCATACACTGTACTGAGACTATACATAATATATCAAACATTTCATTACCCCTGAATTCTTCAGCTAGTATTCATTTTATCATGGCATCATAATATATCCTAAATCCATGTAGATTTTTTTCTAATTTAAATAATATTTTTACATAAATGTCCTATTTGTTTCACAAAACACCATTTTAAGATAGGTATTACTCTGGGGCCAGCCTGTAGCAAGGGGGTTGAGGCACTGGACTCCCACATGGGTGACAGCACTTTGAGTCCCAGACCTGGAAGTTGCTTTCTCACTCTCTGGAAGAAAATAATATCATCTGGAAGTCTACAGTGTTTTTTTTTTTTTTTTACAGATTTGTATATTTTATTTGTTATTATTATTTAATTTGAGCAGAGAGAGAAAGGGAAAGTGAAAGCAAGCCACCAGGTCTGGGACTCGAACAGCGATCGGCCATGTGGGAGTCCAGCACCTTTACCACCACACCACCTGCCACTCTCGGTCTACAGTTTTTTAACATAATGTCCAGGATTCAAGCTAGGCATGCCAAGAGACAAAGCCTTATGAAAGATTATGAAGAAAAATAATCATGAATAGAAACAAACATCATCTATTATAGATCCTAGAGGAAGCACACAATGACTGCACTGTTGGGTCATCGGAAAAGTCATGACACATTTTTGCATAGAAAAAAATACATCATGACTTTTCTGATGACCTGATATTATGACTTGAATCTAAAGAGAGAGTAGGGGGCAAATATAGTCATTCAATTTATTAAACTGGTTTTTTAGGGGAAAAAAGTTATTCTCTGTATGTGTATATTGTGTTTCAGGCAGAGTCACACTGTGTTGTGATCCTCCTGCCTCAGCTTCTTAAACAGCTGGGACATTAAGTGTGTGACTCTGTGCTCAGCTTTTTAGGGTAGGCTATGAACCACACTCAGACCTCATCCCTGTGGCCTCAGTCTGCCAAGCAACAGGTCCAGCATGGCACTTTTTAGCCTGGGACTAATTTAGTTAGTTAGTTTATTCTTCCCTGAAAGAAAAAAAGAGAGAATAACAGGCACTCCCAACAGGGTCTTCATGCCATGACCCACCTCTACCCTCAGCTGACCCAGATTATGGGCAAGTCCAGGTGTTCTCAGGGAGGTTCTAGGATGTAAACTAAAAACTTTCCCCCGTGAGTCCAGTGTGTTACCACTGCATCACTTCCTGGCCCTAAAAAGTCATTCTTAATAGAATTCTAGATGATAAATGAAGAACAATGATAGAATTAAACAACCAGGGCCAGTGACCATGGTTCACATTCTGGACCCCTGTAGCTTGCTTTCTCTTTCTCTCTCTCTCTCTCATACACACACAATCTGTCACTCTCTGGTGAGTGCACATGCCCTGTAGCAAATTAAAAATTAATAATAAATAAAAAATTTTTAATGAATTATTTTACTGGGACCAGCAGTTAGCATAATGGCTATGTCGCTGAACTTCCACGTAGCTGACCACGGTTCGAGTTCCAGACCTGGTGGCTTAAACTCATGCCAGGTGCATGTGCATACGTGCCCAAGATCCCGAGAGGAGAATGGAGGATAAGGGATTGCAGCGTGGCCATCCCCCCTGGGGAGTGATTTCTCACTTTCTATCTCTCTGTCTCTTTCTGTCTTTCTGGCGAGCGCATGCGCCCTATAGCAAAAACCTCTCCATAAAAAAAAAAAAAGAATTATTTAACTTTATTTTTATTTATTTAATATAAATATATATATTTGACCAGAGAGGGACAAAGTGAGAGACAGGGAGAGAAAGAAAGCTGCCAGACCCAGGCCTTGAACCGTGGTTGGCCGTGGAAGTCCAGCACCCTTAATCATCATGCCGCCTGTTGGTCTGATAAATAAAATTTTTTAAAAAGAATTTAGAGCACCATTTTGTAACTCCGGA